TGGATTCTTGGTGATTCCTGGATCATGAGGTTGCAGAAGTTTGCAGGAGAGCAAGAAGTACACCATGGCATGGGGATTGCTGGCTACAGGCTGATCTGGGTAAAGAGAGTTGGCTTGCATTAGCATCATGTTTTACCCACCCTGCAGCATCTAATTGGTGACTTAAGAGGTTGTGATCTATTGGACCTCATGGTGATTCACTCAGGTGGAAATAATCTGTCTTTTAAATATTCCTGGTATACACCTCAAACCATGTCTGATAGCAGATTTGGACGGCATCAGAAATGTGCATCCAGGAGCTGTGTAATAGTTTTCTCTGATTTGGCTGAACATTTGAATAATCAGTACAGTGACAATATGAAAGCTGTTAAGAGTCAGAACAATATTAATCAGGAAATGGGCAGGTGTGTGGCTACCCAGTAAATGTATATTGCAGGGGTCGGCAACCTTTCGGCACACCACTTCTGAGTCTTCATTTATTCACTCTGATTTAAGGTTTTGCGTTCCAGTAATACACTTGAACATTTTTAGAAGGTCTCTTTCTATACGTCTATAATATATAACTAAACTAATGTTGTATGTAAAGTAAATAAGGTTTTTAAAATGTTTAAGAAGCTTAATTTAAAATTAAATTAAAATGCAGAGCCCCCGGGACCGGTGGCCAGGACCCAGGCAATGTGAGTGCCACTGAAAATGAGCTTGCGTGCTGCCTTTGGCACACGTGCCATAGGTTGTCTACCCCTGGTATATTGTATGACACACAAACATTATTCTTTGAGTGATTGCACATGTCCATTCCACTTTAGATCCATGCATGCCTCGTGCATGGCTGTTGGAGAACTTTTCCCTTCCCTAGTACCGGTTGAAGCGGTTTGAGTGTTCTGTTGCTGCACGCCACTGCATGCTGGTATAAGAGGGCAGAGCTGCCCCTGACCCCTCCCAATACCATCACTGATGGTAAGAAGAAACTGGAAGTCTTGCTATTGTCAGTTTATTTCCCTCACTCTTTGCATAAAGTCTGTTTCTTGTTCAGTAGTTAGTTACAGTGTATAGTTAATGATAGGTTTTAGTTTTTGGTCTCTTTTGGACCAAATTTGATTCTCTGGTCCGGAACTGGTAGAGAGAGTCATACCTCTCTCTCTCTCTGGGGTTTAAGTTATAAAATCATAAAAATGGCCATACATCAGACCATAGGTCCATCTAATCCAGGTTCCTGTCTTCCCACAGTGGCCAATGCCAGGTTCTTCAGACGGAATGACAGAACAGGTAATCATCAAGTGATCCATCCCCTGTTGCCCATTCCCAGATTCTGGCAAACAGAGGCCAGTTACACCGTCCCTGCCCATCTTGGCTAATAGCTATTGATGGACCTAGCCTCCATGAATTTATCTAGTTCTTTTTTTGAACCCTGTGTGACAGACCCAGACCAGTGGGGTACAGGAGTCTGGTAGAGGGCAAATATACTGGTCACTGGATGAGTAGTTTTCTGTTCCCTGAGTGACCAGAGCAGGGGCTGCACTAGAGTAATCAGGAACCTGCTAGAACCAGTTAAGGCAGGCAGGCTAATTAGGACACCTGGAGCCAATTAAGAAGAAGCTTCTAGAATCAGTTAAGGCAGGCTAATCAGGGCACCTGGGTTTTAAAAAGGAGCTCACTTCAGTTTGTGGCGAGAGTGTGAGGAGCTGGGAGCAAGAGGCGCAAGGAGCTGAGAGTGAGAGGGTGTGCTGCTGGAGGACTGAGGAGCACCAGCGTTACCAGACACCAGGAGGAAGGTCCTGTGGTGAGAATAAGGAAGGTGTTTGGAGGAGGCCATGGGGAAGTAGCCCAGGGAGTTGTAGCTGTCATGCAGCTGTTACAGGAGGCACTCTAGGCAGCTGCAGTCCACAGGGCCCTGGGCTGGAACCCGGAGTAGAGGGCGGGCCCGGGTTCCCCCCAAACCTCCCAATTGACCTGGACTGTGGGTTCTTCCAGAAGGGAAGGTCTCTGTGCTGTTCCCCAACCCACATGGTGAATCTCTGAGGCAAGAAAATCCGCCAATAAGCGCAGGACCCACCAAGATAGAGGAGGAACTTTGTCACACCTGTTATAGTCTTGGCCTTCACAACATCCTCTGGAAAAGAGTTTCACAGGTTGACTGTGTGTTGTGTGAAGAAATAGTTCCTTTTGTTTGTTTTTCAACCTCCTGTTTTAAGTCCTGTTAGCTGTGTGCCAGGCCAGTGCCGGTCAGTGACCCACACCCCAGCTTCCTAAAATGTTGGGGGAGTTTCACATCAGTGAAAAATATCACCTTTTATAGACGTTTTAAACCTCACTCAAAAAAAATAGAGCTGTGAGACTTAAATATTTCCTGATGGAGTCAGCACTTGGCCCTCCATTGGAGCTGTTGGGTTCCGAGTGCACTCCAAGTGCGGCTCCATCTGTACAGAGCGTACCTCCTGAGAGGCCTTGGCACTGTGTTCTGTATCTCTAGAACTGATGAAGAGACCCAGATCTGCCAAGGACATGGTATGTTGTCCAGAAAGACCTTCGGTACCCAGGCCATCTAAAAGCAAGAATTCTGAGAGGGACTCTGAAGGGAAGCATTCTCCAGCATGCTCATCTGCTGCAAAGGGGGGTTTGTCAAGCCCAGAACCTGTGCCAGATCTGTTGAGGCCGATTCCTGAAGTGTCTGTGTCGGACCCAAGATCCAATTTCGATATTGACTACACCAGAAGGGTACACCACCACCAGAGAATTACCGAACCTCTTTGTACCAGTGTCCCTTGTGGTTCAGGAAGGGTTTCAGCCCTCACTGGAAACTGGTCCCTACACCACCTCTGCAAGAGGTGGGGGGGAGGGATAGCTCAGTGGTTTGAGCATTGGCCTGCTAAACCCAGGGTTGTGAGTTCAATCCTTGAGGGGGATCTGGGGCAAAATCAGTACTTGGTCCTGCTAGTGAAGGCAGGGGGCTGGATTCAATGACCTTTCAAGGTCCCTTCCAGTTCTAGGAGATGGGATATCTCCATAAAAGAAAAGAAAAAAGAGCATACAGTACTGATGCTACTTCTGGTGCCTAGGAGGCCTGTACATTCTAGGGGCTTGCCACCGTTAGTATCCCTGTTGCCACCATTTCTGGATTTGGCTTACTGGTCTCCTGTCCACAGGGTTCTGCTCCACCATTATCACATGATTGAGTCATCTTCGTTGGATCTGGAAATGGGTCCTATTGTGTCCCACACCAGGTGGGACTGAGCAACTGGAAGATGTTCAGACAGCTCCTCCGCTACAAGAGGCAGACTAGCCATTGCCTCAGTGTCCTGGTGTGTTTGTGTTCCTCATCACCAGATGAGGTGGTGAACTTTTCTTGACCACAAGAAGATAACAAGGCTCACTAAGAACTGCTTAAAAGGATGGCAGCAGTTTTACACATTCAAGGGAAGAGATCTGCAGACCCTCCACTTAACAGCGGTGATGCTTTGTGGCTAACACCAGTAGAAATGACTTGCTTGAAAGATATGAAGGAGGTGCTTCTGAACGTTTCTCTATTTGATCTCAGCAGAGAAATGTGTCTCCAGTGCATGCTTCCATTAACCACATTTTGGATTATTTGTTGCACCTAAAACATCAAGGCCTGACAGTTAGTTAGTTCCATTAAAGTACATTTGGCAGCCATTGCAGCATTCCACCCTCCAGTGGGTGAGTTCTCACTTTTTTCCCAACCCCATAACTATCAGATTTCTAAAAGGGTTGGACAGATTATAGCTTCAGGTGCAAGTATTTGTTTCCCCATTGGATCCTAACCTGGGCCTAACAAAATTAATGGGGCCTCCCTTTGAATCTTAACTGTGCATTTCCTGGTTCTCAGAAGTTTGAGTTTTGCTCATTTCAGTATTCTGCAAGAGGACGATATACTGCCAAGCAATCTTAACTCTGCATTAACATTTTTTTGCCATTGAACCTTGAAAGTGTTACACAGCCTGGGCCCAGGGTATTGAAAAGATTGTCTGAAGCTCTAGGCCAAAGGCCATGATTGACAACTGCTTTCCTCTGGCACACCGGAATTCTCAACCGTAAGAGTATAAAGATTATCTGTGCGGGAGACGGAATCTTCTCCAGGAGTGATCCAAGACTGGGAAATGAGCTCCCCCAGGAACTAAGAACCGTCACAAACTGCACAGCGTTTTGCGTGAAGTGCCAGGTGCATTTCTTGACCTTGCCTTCTCTAATGTAAATCTATAGCAAAAGGTATATTTGGTTAATTAAAAAAAACTCCTACCAAAACAACACTCCACTGCACACACTTTTTTCTGGGGAGAGGAAGAGCGAACAACCACGTGACAGATGTATAGTCATGTTGCTTAACACACTTATTGGAAGATGCTCAGATACTATGGCAATGAGCGCAGTATAAAAGCTTCTGTAGAGCAGAATCCGTGTTGGCACTTGGTTTAGCTATAGTAGTGATAGGGATGATGAAACTTCTGAAGGAAAAAAGTCTAGTGGCCTTGTTTACTAAATAAATGTCTTATTGATGCAAAGGAAGTTAATTAGTCACTTCACTTTTTGACCTGTGTGGTGGTGAGTTTGGAGCTGTTGACGCTCCAAAGGCTTGAAAACTGCATGCTGCCTCTGTGTTTTGGTTTGCTGAAAGTGTGAGTGAGCTTGGATTGGCTGACAGAATAAACGGTCTTGGCAGGAAGTGTAAAGTTTCATTTTATGCACTAGGGAATCAGTCTTTTTCTAGTGTTGTATCGTGTGAATTATGTTTTGTGTGTGGGTTATTGAAAGTCAAACTGGTTGGTATTTACTCTGTAAAGACTCTGTTTTTGGTTGTTTACTTTCTGTGGTTAGGTATGCTACTGTGATGATCTCGAGGAGCCAGCTAAAACTTACTTCTGAAGCAGAAAGGCTTTTGATTTAATCTCTGTTTGCGGAGTACTTTCAATCTTCTTCGCTTTGGGATTTTAACTACTGTACATTAGAGATAAGGTATAATGGGAGTATGTTAAATGGGTAATCCTGATTTACTAAAATTTTTTAACTTCTTCATTCCCATAGCAGTACTTTAAATGGCCTTTAGTGTAATTAAATTTGTTTCCTTTTAAGGGTTCCATTGAAGT